GCTGAACCCCTGCAAAGTAGGAGGCAGGAAGGTTACCTCACACAGTCAAATCTTCTGTGGCCTAACATAAGCTGTTCAGAAGCTATATGTCAGTTAAAAAAAAAAATACACTATGGGCAGCCCTTGAGAAACAAATTTGCTGTTTTGGAGTTTTCCCTCCAAGTATGATTGATACTTACTTTCTTCTGTTTCATTCATGGTTCCTCTGTGTTGCAGCCAGTTCTCCTTTAGACTGAACTGGTGGAAAAAGGTTTTATTCTGTGAGTGGGAGAGGGGAAAGAAAAAAAAAAAAAAAAAAAAAGACAACAGTGACTCTCTGCATCCCTGCCCTTTACAAAGCAGTAATTGTCAGAACACAGCATTCAGCCCGTGCGTCTGGCCAGAAAGGTTTCTGTATAGGAAATCCACCCACCCTTTCTTGGCTCAGTCAGCTGGGAGTTGCCCTACTAAATAATGGCCAAGGTGGGGATTTTGGAGGAAGCGGGATGTGCTGAGGCTAAGCAGCCTGCACAATTCAAAGTTCTCTGTAGCCGTGTTCAGAGCCCATTTCTTATACACTTATTCTTACATACATTTCCTATGTACCAATCAGCCTATTTAGCAGTTTCACTACAATCTCGTGTTCTGCCTCCCACATTTCCACAGTAACATTTTAAGCTCATTACACACTTCAGCTTCAGCCTAGTAAATTTGACGAGCACAGCAATTCACCTCTGTGCAGTTTGTACGCCAGCTTTCTCCAGCTGCACCTTCTCCCTCTGGTTAAATAGACAGATTCATGTTCCTCTCTTTCTTTCTCTGTCCCTGCCACAACAAATCTCCCTTTTGCTCTGTCTACTTGACATCCGTGGTCAATGCCTGGGCTCAGCCTGGTTTGCCCAGGTTGCTACATCTCTGTAGCCCCGTAGGGACATGCTCCCAGGCCTCTCCTGAATTCTGACATCTCAGAGCATCTTGTTAAGATGCTAATACTGTCACAACCACTGCAGGTTAGCTCATGCAGCTGATATCCAGGCTGCACCGGCAGGAAAAAAAATTCCTTAAGCAATGTTGCAGGTCTAACCTCACTGATGTATCCTGTCATGTTTTTGGCCACCAGTCACTTTCAATTGAGAAGCCAAGAAAAGAGAGGGAAGCGGGCAGAGGGGAAGAAAGCGAGATGATAAGTTATCTAGCAACCAGCAACAATCAGGTTTGCGTTACCTTTCGGTGAGGTGAATACTCATCTACAGTGCTGAAACAAAAAGGAAAATCCAAATTATTCTTTCCAGTCAAAGATTAGGAAAAGGAAGTTTTAGCTATTACAAAGTTTACATCAGAAACTTTTTAACATTAAATGGTGACTGCAGAATGGCTGCAAAGCTCCTTCAGGGAAAGCTAAGGGCACCTGGCCCAGAAAACTTTTCTGTGACTTTTACAATCGATGTAGTGAAAAGCAATGCTGGCAGCCCGCAAGCTGCTGGAGAACACGGATGCAACTCGGGCCCCCAGAGTAAGCAGTGAGGGTCACCCTCAGGGACACAGCTCTTTCCACTTCCCCACCGTCCAAACCACGGAAACAGACTCCATTTGTTGAAAAACATGCCAAGGAAATATCTTTTACCAATACCATAATTAGTAAAATAATAACCCTGAGATGACTATTGCAAAACAAATTTGCTTCTCAGAACTGCAGATCGCAGAGAATGAGAATGAATGTACCATCTGAAGGCACAGACTGCAGCTTCTGAGGGAAATTTTGCCAGCTTTTCCACTAAGTATTGCTCCACTTGCAAGTGATCCCAACCAAAACTGATGGGAGTGACTGTTGAACCACACACACCACCCAACAAACATCAAAGAAGATTGAATAATCTAGCTTTAGTTTAAAGAAGAGATGATTTGTAAGAATGAATATAGTACTTGTATCACTCATCACTTTACTGAATTACAGCAAGATGACAACAAAAATAAATCACACTCTAAATAAAAGGAGACTTGATCACAAACATAATCAATACTTACTGACGACGATGCATCCCAAGTATCTTCTGAAATTCTTTCAGTTCCTTCTCAAGAATGGGATATTCATACACATCATCTAACACATTCCTGTATATCGTCTACAAAATAAAACAGTATCTGCAACATCTGATAACTCAAGCATAAATCTAAAGCATCACATCAGTGGTCTAAATCAATTCAGGCACTAGCGTACTAGAACAAATTTCATCATTATATTTATGCAAGACCCACAAGAAGAGAATGTTCCTGTTTAAATTTCCAGACTGGTCAATATTCAGCTTGCCTTTGGCAAAACACTCTTTGTATCACCACCAAGCGAGAGGGCAAAATGTTAACACGCATTAGTCTACAAACAGGAAGATTTAAAACAGCACTTGTGGCTGTTACATGAAATGTGGGTTAGGTCATCACTTATCCAAAATGATAACAAACAAGTTCATTTGATTTAGACTTTTAAAATGGAGAATGGTCTCCTTCACTTTTCCTCACATTTGCATGCATTTTAAATCGAGTTGATGTCTCTCTCAAACAAATAACAACGTACGCCTAGTTGTAAACTAATAAATAAATAAATAAACCCTACTTCTTATTTTCGGGGGTAGCATTGTCTGAATATCATCAACCAGGAACCTCAGTTAAATGTAAAAGACGGTACCTCAGCTAAGGGGTAAATAAACTGAATCAGTAGCAAGAAGATCCTTGCTAATAAGTAAGGACATGATTTTATTTATTAAAAATTCATAAAGCTGTGCTGCTCTCCACGTGCACCTGATAAACACTGTGGAATAGCATTTCACTCCTCAGTCAAAGTAGCATCTCTTACAAGGATCTCAAAACTCCCTTTTTGTCTGTGACCCTCTGGATACCGACTGTAGACCCTGTTCTAGCAGACACAACCAGTGTGTCCAAGGAACCTCCACATCTTTGTAGTTTTATTTCTTACTTTCCTAACTCTTCCCATTTTCTAGAGAGCACGGAGTTCTATAAGTTTCATAGCTGAAAGTAATGTTTTTGACATTGGAAGTATTAACATTACACGTTTTCTGTTCAAACTCACTATCTGTAAGGCATTCAAAGAAGACACATATAAATAATTTTATATTATAGATTTCACGGAGAAAATTTAAGTATGAAAAATTATGCTTCATAGATTTTGCTGCTGGGGCTTTTTAGACACAGTATGATAATTAAACAGCACTGAAATGCATAAGAAAGTGTTTCAATACCTTTAAAAATTGTTTTAAATGCTCATCTTCGTGTAACCAGTCTTTGTAGAGAGAAGTCCACTGAGACACCAAATGCAAGACTTTTCGCTTCCTACAGGACACATCAGAGTCATCTTCTTTCCCTTGGTGGTTCTTAGCACAATAGGTACAGTAGGTTAAGGAACAAATACTGTGGTCTCACTGAAACTTCAAAATTAAGTGATGGAAAAGACTTTGCAATCATCTCGTTAGCTATTAAAAGATTTTTTTTTTTTTACTATATTGCTCAGTTTTGAATGTTTTATCCTGTCTGGAGCTTTAGGAGTTTAATCAACTTTTTGGAATGAAATGCTCAGTAATAGAATTGTCAGTTCATCCTCTGTGCCAACAGGATTTTTTTCCTTTATAGATTAGAGGGGCAAGTCTATAAAAGTAAAATCAATTCAAAAGAAATTATACAATGTTGAGTTGTATCTTTTCTGCAAGAACTGGGAAGGAACCTTTGTCCTGCACACCGATGCCAACGTGAATGTCTGTGGGAAGGAGGACAATGCATCATTAACAACAACAAAAAAGCCAGGCAGAAGAAGTCACTTTCTTTTTCCCTGCACAAATTACACTACCTGCAGAAATAACACTATTAAAATAAAAAAGAAGGTGAAAGAATCTATTTCCACCATTGTTCTCTATTCACAGAGCAGAAACACCAAATGACACAAGATACCCACTTTGTACATTGTTCCTGTCCCTTTGCTATTCTTTCTTTTATTAGGTGAAAAGATGATGTTTTCACCACAAAAGGTAAAGAGGGAAAAAAGAAAAGGAAAAAAAAAAAGAAATGCAAGTTCATTTTATCATACAAGTTCATTCAAGCAATACTCCATAGCTTATGGAAATAATTGGAAACACAAGAAAAAAATTCTTTTATCTCAGAATGAGTTAGACTTATATACTGTATCACATGACAAAAGGAGCAGAGATTGTAAAATACTTATTCTTCATCTTTTCACATATTCTGAAATGTGTTACATAGATACAGGTATTCTAAGAATCAACATACGGGTCTGGATAGGTATAAATCCCATTTTAAGTGTCATTTTGTAACAGCTATAAAGGTTTATATATCTTTAAACAAAAACAGCAGACATAAGATTGCATTGCTGCCACCAGTTAGGCATCTGTTTCAATACACCTTTCAAGCATTCTTGTGAAGTAAGTATGCACATACACAAACGCGTATGTTTTGGATACAGGTTTATTCAGAGGCAGCTTTAGCTTTGTACATTCAACTTCAGAGCAGGAATTTTCTGTTTATTGATTCCTCAGCTATGCAAATTCTAAATGTTTTAATAGGTGAATGTATATATATCTCTCTATTTACAGGTGCATGCCAATTAGGGGAACTCATATGCAAACTTGGATTTAATGTTTCCAGTTTGAATCTTTTCCTTTACAACCCATTTGAGTTACGAAAACAATATAACCTGAACTTTGGGAAGCTACAGATTTGAATCAATTTCCAAGTATCATAAAACCTTATGAAAATTGGACTGGAGAAGAAGAGTCCTTGAAAGATCAGCTAAACCAGTCCATCCAAGTCCACCCTAACTAGTCCAGCCTAAGAGAGGCTGAAGTGTACCCAACGTTATCCTTGGAATACATTTTCTAGTTTCTTCTTCCTGATAGTCTCCAATATCAAAGACTACTGCCTCACACACTCTCCAAAGTTTCTTAATGTAAAAAAAAAAAATTCCTAGTATCTAACATGAAACTGTCTTACAGCAATTTAATCTCACTGCCTCTTGTCCTGTCTGGCACCAATATGGGAACAGATTCTTCCCTTGCTCTTTAGGTACCTGAAAGATTGTCCCATTTATAGTTTCCCTTTTTTCAGTAGAACAATTCCAATTCTTTCAATCCTTCTTTGTAGGTCTTTTTTCCTAGAATATTGATAATTCCCATTGCTCTCTTCTGAAGTTTCTCTTATTTGTTCATGTATTTCTTGGGGTGTGACACCAAAACTCCAGGTGCAGTCCATCTTCTAAGCATGTCATAGTAAATATTAGACAATTACTCTCTTTTCTCACCATTCTTACATGCAACATCAAAATAATCATGCGGGGTTGTGTTTCAATAACATCAATATGCAAAGAGCAAAACTAATTATCCCAGACATGCAATTTACTACATTTGATCTAAGGCCTAATAAAACTAGGTGTAACTGTGTGACCCCTGTTAACGCAACACTTAATAAAAGGATATTGCCTCAGAAGTGCCTGGCACAAGTCATCAGTCGTCATGAAGACTGTGTACGTGAGAAGGAAGTCATCAAGGAGAGTCTCTGCAGAGGAAGACAAAAAAGCCCACACCACGTTACTGAGAGGAAGACGACAGTATCTATTCCTGTTAGTGTGCGTGGCGTGAGTAGGACCCCCTCCCCCCAAGAAAAGGTCCAAATCATGCAGAATACATCAAACTAAGTTTCAAACAGTTACCAATATGCTGGCACTGCAGAGATCAGATCCTTTATTTAACAAGCACGCCCTCAGTTCTCAAAGAACCAACAAGCACGAATATGCACAAAATAAGCCACAGTTCAGGAATCAGTAAGAAAGAGTCCTTATCATGACCACCACCATCCTGGTTGGCTCTGCTGCATGCAAAGCAACCCTTCCACCAGCTAAGTTGTTCTGGAAATTCAGAAAAAAAGGTTTTAGTAATAGGAGAGAGAAAACTGTGATTGCCATGTACCGTGATTAACATCTACGCACAGTAGCTGACAACCATGAAATAAATATATTCAAATCTTTAGCTGGTTAGTCTTGTGGGCATCACTTAAGTGTTGAGAAGTTTTCTCTAAGGTTTACTTAAATTTTAGGAAGGTTTTTTTTTCTTCAGCTGGTTTCTATCAGTGTTACAAAAACGGGCTGCAGGTACTTGCCGACAGACCACTTCTACCCACTGCAGTTGTAGCACCTCAGGTTGTCAGGATGAACGGCGCTGCCAGTTCAGATCTCAGTGTAACTTTCTCATTCCTCATTCCCATGCCACACTGGTTTTAGGATTTTTTCCAAACCTTTACCGCATGCAGCAGGGAGGCTGGAACAGGACTGGGTTTGCTCTAGGGTGAGGGCTCGGGGTAATCTTGTGGTGGTCTTCAAAAACCCAATGGCACAGTAGAGATAAGATCAAGTCAGACTTTTCCTGGAGGCGTGCAGCAAAATGGCAAGGGGCAACCATCAGAGATTGCAACAAAGGAAAATGTGTCTAAACACAAGGGATTTTTTTTTCTCCTGTGAGGAGGGTCAGCCGCTGGGACAGGTTGCCTAGACAGACTGTAGAATCTCCAATATCAGGTATATTCAGGGCTTGCCTGGGCAAAGCTCTGAGCATCCTGGTCTTACCGGACCTGCTTCAAGCAGGGCTTGGACCAGAGTTCTATGACTCTTAAACAAATTTGCTTCCAATTTTAGTAAATTACTCCTATACGATGTGTGACCTAGGAGTGAAATTGTATTTGGTTCACAAACAACAAAATCTTTAGTTTTCTGAAAACAGACAAGAGAATTATATTGGTCTTTTTAACCCCAAAATAAAAATGTTTGTGTTTTGTTTTTTGATTTTGTTTTTTTCTTCCCAAAATGGTAAGATTTTCCTCAAGTTCTGAGGAGTTCCTGTTCACTGTATTTCTTTGAATTCCAGCAGATATACTGTGTTCCCTTTAACAAGAAAACAGGTTTGCACCACCTGCTTTCTCAGATGAGAACAGGAACATGGACAGAGGCTGAACGATAACAGAAGTAGTATCGGTTATATTGCAGAGCAAAAAATACTTTACCAGTGTAACTATTTGTTACTAATTCGTACCAATTATCCAGTTGTGATTTAAGTGGTGGATTTACAACTGTAAAGACTAAGGGTTGAACCACACCTCACATGAAAAAAAAAAAAAGCCGAGCCCCGATTTCCTTACCCTGATTTTCTCACTATTTGTTCATGATCTGTTCCAGTCCAAGCTAGTGCTTATGTACGTGTGTGCAACTGAGGGCATCCCAGCAGCTTTTCACACCAAGACTGCAATTTCACAATAATTTAGACCAATTTCAGTTACAGCTGCCTTGGACCTCCTTGTCAGTAAATGATTGACCCCATAGCTGTGGTGCAGGATTGCAATGAGAATTCATCCATGTATCATTCAAAGCCAGATATCATGTGGATATCACATGGATGGATAGCTAATGACATCCCACCCTGTGAGCATGGGATTCAAAATACCTCCATTGTCTTTAAAAAAAAAAAAAAAATAGATCTAGCTAGATCAATGCATTTAACACAGCTGGTCTAGAAAGAGTCCTGATCTGAAGATGCATAGCTAAAACCCCTTGCATTCAGAAGCAAAACAATTAAATTCTTTATATTTCACCAACATTGTTAAAAATGGTGAAAAGTATTATCTCTGTATAAAAAGAATATTTTGTCTCAGTAAATGAAAAGACATTGTGAACAGCTTGTTCTCTATCTGAAAGGTCATCTATTCATTCTGTTGTACATCTTTTGGATGATACAATGCAGCTATTAAAGTTGGAGGTTTCACAAACATTTATTTGGAAACTGCTGTTCTTGGAGTCAACAACCACATTTTAGTTCTTGACTGAACTATGTGACTGTGCAGTGATCCTCACGAAATCAAAGATACACTTACAACAGATTATTTCCCCAACTTTCTACTCTGTATGGGTGATATCTGAGTTTCAGCAATACATAGCCATGTGTTCAGAAAAGAAATTAAATACTAGCTGAAGCAAACCAGGAATGCTTATCAATGAACTTCTGCAATTGTTCAAAATAGTGTGATTTTATCTTACTCACTGGCCTTAAAATACCAATTTAAAAGTTTATTTTTCATACCTGATCATCTGTTTTACAGATGTCTATCTTCAATCCTTCCAGCATCCCAAAGTGTTGGGGTGAGAAGAAAGGCTGATTTTGCTATGATTTGAGGTTTTTGCTTTTTTGCTTAAAACTTTTTGCAAGAACTATAATTACTAATGCAATTCTCTCAAACTAATGAAGGGAAGATTAAAATTGTATGTCAGTTCAGAGAGCTTACAACTGTTTTTAAACTCTCTGTTTATCTCCCTCTCTCTGCTTGCTCAATCATACATCTATCTGTACAGTCTCTGGCTTCCAACAACCTTCTCAAAAAAAGGTATATCACTCAGCCAACAAAGTCACACATATGTACACGGAGTGACTTCCTTTCTCTTCCAAATGCAGAGAAAATACTAAAAAGAAGAAGGAAAGTTCACAAACAATGATTCCCATAGCTTGTACGTAGGCTAGATCTCTTCAAATTGCCTCTGAACTTGTTTAGAAATTTAAACCCTAAAGGAATGTTTTGAACAAAAAAAGTCTGGATTCTACATGTGGTCCATTAATAGCATCACTCATCCGTTAAATTACTTTAACAAGTAAGCAACGAAAGTGCTTTTGCTAGATTAAATATCTATTACCAGACGTCACCTAAAGACTTCACAATAATATTCATATTTTAAAATGCCTGCACTAGCTTGTAGGTACTTCCCTGAAGTCCTACTGTTCACTGTAACTATCTTCTGTATTTTCTTCCTAAATTCACTGTAATTTAACATCGTTCCAGAATGGTTTTTCATGCCACAGCAAGGACACAAAACCTGAGGGTGTACTGATTCTTCAAAAACCATTTGTTCAAAACAAACAATTGCGCACTTCTCAGATACTTTTGGACATTAATACATGTCCACAAATGATGATTTGCTGCTCTTAACCTGCAAACAGAGAGAAAGGCTAAGCATGGGAGAATTTATACACAGCAAATTTTTCATTCTGTGTTACTAATGGCCACTAAGAGCAGTAAATTTGAATGAGGAAGGGCTCTAAGTGTACAAGTTGGGCTGCTAATCATGAACAGAAGTCTTTCTGGGTTTCTTCTGTTTAGTCACAGTTGATTTAAGAGTTAAAAAAAAAAAAAAAAGGGCAATTCCAGTCAAATCATTAATTATTTACAGCACACCATATCCCCACTCAGAATGGCAGTGAAATGCATACCTCTGCTTTTAAATTTTACTCTGTGTCCCAGTTTCTACATAAATTTGTGACCACCTTCTCCATTATTCCCATAGAAAAAGTTTTTCCAGTATTTGTAGCAAACAGGGAGAATAAAATGCACAGCAATAGTAAGAAAAGAAAAAATTCCATTGGAAGGGAAGTCTTTGTGCAAAAGCCTGTGATGATATGCTATTTTTTTTAATTTCTCTTCTTCATGAATTTTTTATTTAATCATTTTCTTCTAGCTATCAATCTAATTTTTCTTTGTTCCTCACAATTTTCCTTTATTTGGGTAAGCAATTATTACAAAGTATGCAGTTAGCTTGCAGCTACAGAATATTTCATTTCAAAGACAATTTCAAGCATTTTAAAGCTTCATTCAGACATGCAACAGAACCAGCACGAGTTCAATGGGCTCCTGCTCTTGCAGCTCTTTGGGGGCAGCCTTAGGCAGCAATCTCACCACACCGAATGTGTGCAAGTACCATAGGCATAAAAATAATAAAAAAGCAGGCACTGTGCTTGTTTGTTATTAAATAATCAATTCACACTAGCTTCTGCTGAGACAGTTTCTCATGGGCTGTGTGTCCCCCTCCTTTCCCCAGGTGAAACAAGGCAGCGTTCTTCCCATCTTTCTGTGATATCCAAGTCCTTCTGCAAGATACATTCAGGGTGGCTGAGGGATGAAAAAAGCAGTATATAGACATGGGATGTTCTGACCCATGTGAATTACCCAGGGAACATTTGCTTTCAGCTGGTAACTAAAGGACTCAGCAACACGTCTACAAGAGAAGTTGCAACTGTATTGCATGCATAAGGTGATGACGGCCAATGGCAACCATGGTGTATTTGGTGGGGAAAGGGGATCTAGAGTCCCAGAGGCAACAAACAGTCATATATTTGGATAAACAGCACATCATATATTCCCACGTACTTAAAAAATCCAGAGGATTCCCTGCTGCTTTCCATGTGCCCACTTACCTCTCTAACCAGATCATACCCTTTCTCTCCGAGAGGGCAACTTGACCAATATTAACTCAATGTGAGGGCATGTTTTTAAATGCCAGGAGGGCAGAGTGGGTTTCTCACACAGGTTTACACACCAGATTTGATTTTTCAATGGTCTCTTTTCTCCCTCTCCACCCTCTTCTCTAGGCGGGGTATCAATCACTAAGCCTTAGGACGGAAACGAATACAGATCTGTAGCCAGAAATCGTCCGTGACACACATTTAACAAATCAGGACAGGCAGTAC